AAAGATATTTTTGAGATTGGGAGAAGAGTTGGGATGAGTGATGAGCATGATTTTCTATTCAAGAAAGGCCCTTAGACATTGAGCCAACAAATGATGCCCAGTAACTACAGATTCATACAGCCCTCGAAATTAGCGTCGGCATTCGGCAATGCCGACGTATTTGCCGACGCTTTACAAGCGTACCACGGCACTATTTGCCGAGGCTCATTTTTTGGCTCGTTTGTATTGTAAGATAGTCCTAAGCTCTTTCAGATGAAGTAGTGATCCCCCTATTTCATGATATTTTGAGGGAGTTGGCTGCCCAACTATGAGATGATTTTACACCAAGCAGCCTCTTCAACATCTGGAGAGGCAAAGCCTGGGAAGAAACATAAGACTATGTGTTGTATGAAGAAGACAAAGCATTCCTATATAATACATACTTTGTAATAAAACACTATTTTTATATAGTGCCAAGCAACACCAAGCTATCTCTAATCTTTTAGTATCCAAATAAATAAAACATGGCAGTTTACTTTTGCTTGTTTGTCTGCTAAAGCAATTTAACTTATCTAATGCAAGGTGGATTCAATGGTTAAAGAAGTATGATGCAATACCTGATCTTAAGCAAGGTGCCTTCAAAACACTCTTTTTATATATAGTGCCTACTTGCAAATTTCTGCCAGCTCTTAATATCAGCATGACTAAGAATCTTAAACATCAAGCTATAACTCTACTCTCTTGGTATCCAAATAAATAGAACAAGGCAGTTTACATTTCCTTGTTTGTCTGTTAACTCAATAACTTATCTAAGGCCAAGTCAAAAAAAAAAAAAGCATGTTTCTCGTCCCCGCCCACTTCCGTTTTTGGGGCCGCCTCAAATTTTTTGTTATTTATTATTTTTAAATTTCAGAAAAACAGATAAAAAATTAGCCCAAAAAACCCCATAAATACCCTATTTTCGGTAAATACATCATGCACCAAAATCTTCATGGCCTATACATATTGTTCTCCAACATTCACTATGATAATTGTGAATTTTAATACCTGAAAAACGATGTCTAGTGGATGGCCTAGGCCAGGACCACATTCGTTGTGATGCGCGACCGCCCGCGTGATTCCAATCTCTCAGGCTGGCAATGATTGGCCGTACAACATCGCAGATGCGAGCAAGGTTGTAGGCCTAGCCTTTGTTTAGGCCTAGATTATTATTGATAAAAAAAAAACAGAATATTTGTAAATCAGTAGATCGACCAATAACCGCCTGATAAAACAACTTTCTCAATTTTGTGATATATTTTCGTCACAGAATCTCTCATTAATTAAATCATTCTCTAGGCCTGTATTCCAGGAGTTAAAAAAAAACAGAAAAACAAAACCGCATAAAAACGACTGGGACATGTAGTCTATGGCATTTGGCGAAATACGTATTTATTGCCAAGTGGAATGCCTTGGTGGGGAATAATACTGAATGTACTGAATGCACTGACCAAAGATAAGAAAAAAAAAAAAACCGGACGCTGTGTTTCTCTCTCTCTCTCTTCATATGGCCGGACCCTTCGGATGTCTAGGTGTTTTTGAATTCATTTTAGAAGAGCATATGCTCAAGGGTAAAAACCTTAAAGCCATGGTATGCGAGATCGATTGAAGAAAACGAATATGATGGTTTTCAGACTTCGTTGTTGGATATCTTCAATGCTTTTTCCAATGGAGAATTCGACGAAGGAACCGACATTGATCAAACAACAACACTGTAAGTACAGTGGCTGTCTTGACGTGATAGGACTAGGAGAGCCCTAGGCAAGGCCTATATGTAGTGCCAGTGCCTGGACTATTGGTAAATAAACCTGACCTCCGACCCTGTGATGTCACGGACCACGTTGTCTGGAGCCGGAGGCGCCGAGAGACCTCACTTCGACTTGGACAGTCACATAGTGAACATTACAAGAGCCTTGCTTGGATTTACTTACCTTGGACGTTTTCCCAGAAGTAGCATTCCTGGACGTTTTCCCAGAAGTGACATTCCTGGACGAGTTATGGTAAGTCTCGGCAATAATTGTTTTTGTTCGTAATTGTACTGTAGTCTTAAGTAGTAGTCAAACAACCTGTGGAGCCTAGCAAACTCTACATATATATAGCGAATAATAAGTTGTCAAGACTTTAAGTAGTGTCTAGGCTAATTATAGCTAGGTACTTTTTAAGGCCTATATGTCAGATGTACGTAAATCATAGGTGGGCGGGCCTAGCCTAGTTTGGTCTTGCCCACACATCAACTACCGCACAAACAAGATACCTGTTCGCAGTAACTTCGCCGCGGTTGGGTGCAGCGGTACAGAACGATTGAAACGAAAGCTCTGTCATGTTTGGATAGAGGAATTGATGATACACAAATTTTCACGTGTGCATTGGTGTCAAAAGTATATATTTAAATTTTTCATGGATTAAAAAATATTAAATATAGGTGTAGGCCTAGGTCATTAAAAAAGATGTGGCATTTGTTTTTAGTCAAATTCAAAAGCAAGAAATGATGAAAATAGGATTTGACCTTTGACCCTCAATAATTGTAAATTCATTTTACGTCATTAACAATTGCGGTGGGGTGGGGTTCGTACTTTAAAACATACTCTGTAGACACTACCAGCCAGGAATAGTACAGTAGGTACTTTTAGCATGGTGCAATAAAAAAAATCCATTGATTTTTTAAAAAAAACTGTGTCCATCAAAAAATGTTTACATGCTGAATTATTATCATCATTTATAATGAGAACAATTCAATGTGTTTGTTATTATCATTTCTTTAAAAAAGAGTGGCAGATCCCAACACTGGCAAATTTTCTTCTAATTATTCAACTTTGATAATTGATTTTTAAATGCACAGGAAACATTTTCACTGGCTTTTTAACAGCAGTGAACTTGACTAATAATTTTGTTCCTTTGTTTTTTAAATCAGGACTTGTATGGAAAGCAGGATACTGAAAAGCATGCGCCATCGAAAATAGACAAAGCCACAGTATGCCATTCGCTCCATCTGGACAGAAAGCCCGCAATGTTAAAATGGTACAGTAGTTCAGGTAGGTAGAGTAAATTCAGTTCATTGTAAAGTGTATTATATTATTGAGGAATTGTAAATATTCAATATTAAACTGTCTTTAGATATTAAATTAATGTATGGTATGTATTCTATATACTCTAGTTTGTCCAAGATTGTGAACTGAATGAATAATTTGTGAATGTGTTCTATAGGACTTCAATACTGTACTTTGGCTTGCTTTTGTTAAAAGTAGGTACCGGCAAGGAAGTGTAAACTATGCAGGTTTTTAGTGGAATTTCCGGAAACTGGAATAATATTCATCTTTTTTAATTGAGTCTCTCTTGAAAACTATTGATCAAATAAAATTTTAAACACCTTTGTAAAGCTTATTTCATTATCTTTCATATGGTACTAAATATGTTCAAATCCATTCACAATAAACATATATAAAACGTACTAGAAGTATAGTCACTCAGTAGAGAATTGGGTTAGTGAGTACAGCAAACC